GTTCATTCTGTGGAGTCAGATAATGACAGTACAAAGCTACGGCATATGCGTTTGGGTCATCTCAGCGAGCGTGGGATGACAGAATTGCATAGAAGAAATCTGTTGCATGAGGTTAAAAGCTGCAAGCTCGATCTTTGTAAGTTCTGTATTCTTGGAAAATAGATTAGAGTCAGTTATATGATTAGAAAACACAAAACTGAAGGAATCCTTGATTATGTGCATTCTGATGTATGGGGCCCTACTAGGGAGTTGTCATTGGGAGGATCTTAGTATTTCGTTACCTTTATTGATGATTTTTCCAGAAAAGTTTGGGTGTATTTCTTGAAGAAGAAATCTGAACTCTTCTCTAAATTCAAGCTGTGGAAAGCTGAGGTGGAGAACCAAACTGGCAGAAAGATCAAGTATTTGAGGTCCGATAATGACACAGAGTACACAGATTTGCAGTTTCTAAAATTCTGTGAGGAGCATGGGATTCAGAGACATTTTTCGGTGCGAAAAACACCACAGCAGAATGGTGTGGCAGAAAGGATGAACCGGTCCTTAACTGAAAGGGCAAGGTGTTTGAGACTGAATGCAGGGCTTCCTAAGAGTTTCTGGTCAGAGGATCTGAATATGGCATGCCATCTCATCAATAGATCACCTTGAGCATCTTTGGGTGGCAAGGTCGCAGCAGAAGGGGATAGATTATGATGAAATCTTTTCTCCTGTGGTCAGACATATTTCAATCAGGGCAAAGTCTGCTGGTTTCCTTTGGGTGGCAAGGTCGCAAAATCTTTGGGTGGCAAAGTCTGCTGGTTTCCCAGACATACTTCAATCAGGGCAAAATCTTTGGGTGGTAAGGTCGCAGAAGAGGCATGGACAGGTAATCCAGTTAAATTTGATCATTTAAGGATTTTTGGATGTCCTGCTTATGTGCATGTACCTGGAGATGAAAGATCCAAACTTGATGCAAAATCCAAGAAGTGCATCTTTCTGGGCTACAAGAAAGGTGTAAAAGGATACAAGTAAGTTTTGGGATCCA